TTGTGTTTTACTTGCAATATAAGCGCTGTTTTTATCAATACTGCACACAACGGGTGCGAGAAAAAATATAATTCATCAAGGAGAAATTTGAGTTAAGCGTTCTTATTGCAGAGTTGGGCCATATAAACTCGACTGGAAAGAATTTCCATTCCCTCTATACCTACATTGTAATGACTCTATAATTCATAAATATTTAAATATGTTATGCATATAGGATCTGAAATAAATTTAAAATTGATGAATCAAATCGAGAAGTCTAGCGAGGCTACCTGACCTGAGTTAAATAGAAAAGAGTGTTGCCAGATCCCTAATATAACATTATATAAAATTGTATATTATGTACAGCATATTTGTAAATAAAATATTGTTTAAACCAAATAGAAAACTTCGGATTAAGTTTCACGAATCCAATATAAAACGGAAACGAAATATACACAGTGGATCCATTTTAATAATATTTTACTAACAACGCATACGTATGTTTTTTAACAGATATATTTGACCATTGACATACGATGTCCTTGTTGAAGAATTTATATCTGTTAAAAAACATGCGTATGCATTGTTAGTAAAATATTATTAAAATGGATCAACTGTGTAAATATTCGTTTCCGTTTTTAATTTGATTAGTGAAAATTATTCCGAACCTTTCTTTTAGCGTCAAAATGTTATTACGTCCTGTCTATTGTCATAATTCTGACATCAGAATATGTGATATCACACGACATACACTCGTATGATCTGAGTGCCACTATATAACAAGGTAGTAATGTAGATAAGCTTAAGGTGAATGAATATCATATGTTAAACATGTAATATCTAAAAAAGAAAATTTACTTCACCTTTATTTCCTTGACTAGATGAACATTTACCCGAAGAGGAAAGCAATGATTCTGTACAGAAACAGAAGATCTTACACAAAGGAAAAGGTAGAGCGCGTAAGAGGTCAATAGGGTTGGAGGACATTGACATAGACGACGAGGACAACATGTACGTAAACTCTGGTGGAAATTTCAGTGATGTCGACGAGTCAACTTCCATCCCTGTAAAGAGTTTTGGGGCTGTCTTAGAGCAAAAAGAGGCTGACGAACTTCTGGACAAGGAATACCAGGTCAATAACAAACTATATAGATACGATGACTAGACCAATAAGTAGTACATGTATTATTAGTTTATTGACGTATTGACGAGTAGAAAACGAAACACAGTTTCCGATTATAGATACAAAACTTAAATTTTGCATATAAATTCATATGACATACTTGTCTATCACTTTTAATAACTTTTTTCGCGAGATAATATTTAGATAGATATTAAACACCCACACATATCATGTTCGCTTTGATGTCTGATAATTTTCCTGTTGTTGATCTCAATGAGTTGCTTTGTTTTTTTCAGACTTTACTATTTGGTGCTGTTCATCCACATGATGAAGGGAAAAAGGAGTACAACATCCCCAAAAATAGATTCATTTCGACATTTCCGTGTAAATATATATAAATTGTTAAACTTTAAAAAGGTTAAGTTTATGAATATGCATTAGATATGACTGTAAAGTCTATTCAGTATCTTATGTCTGCTTTTTACATGTTAGGAAAACAAACTTTAGAAACCTATTTAGTCGCTAAATGAATCAATGATGTAATTATTGAATGAATACATTATTGAAATGACAGAATACTCAATTTTGCATATTATCCAGACCACGTCCTGATGTGTGTGATAACACATTCACCCTAATTTCTTTGTTTATCTGTAGACGACCACTCCAGAGTAATTCTCAAAGATCAGGAGTCGAAACCGGGATCTGATTATATCAACGCCAACTATATTGACGACGTAATAACTGATTCAACAAATTTTGATATGCAAGTAAAGGCTAACAGAAAAAATACAACAATTTCATATATTTGTAAACAAATAATAATAGAATAATAGAAATGTCTATACCTGTGACATTTCAATCAGATATGTGATCTTAAGGTCCATGTACATGTGAATGCCAGGTTTTATAACAAGTCGGAATAGTTTTCCAATCAAATAATATATTTAAGTTGAAATAATCGGTAAAGGAGATCTCACTGAGGATTTAGCAACCCACTCAGTGACGTGATGTCAAATGCACAGACAAATATTTTTTTTTCCTTTTTGCTGACAGAATATTTGACAAAGTTGTGTCGCTCTAGATTTTTGAAAAAATACGTTTTATTTGTTCTGTAATTGAGAAAACAAAAAAGGTCTGATAACTACTAAGCAATACAACAATACACAGATTTACAGTTTATGATTGTATTTTTAGAGCACATCCAGATCAGAAGTCTACATTGCAGTGCAAGGTATCTAATTTCTCTCATACATGCCCTAGCTTGATTAGATCATAATTAATATAAGTGATATTTATCTTTGATAACTTTTTAATAAGAAATAATATTCTATCACAGCTACATATGTATATTCTTGATCCGCAAGATATTAATTTTCTCCTCTATTTGTAGGAAGACTCATTCGCCAATTAAACTTTTTCATCAACATGTTGACTGTATCATTTGGTCTCCAAACCCATAATACTTCTTTTAAATCCGTTGGTGAAGTCTTTATATATATGAATAAGCAGAGATAACTGGTCTCCAAATAATGATGATAATGCAAGGAGAGGGAAACTTTAGTGTATATCTAGACGATACGTATTCTGATTAAATGCAAATTATAAAGTACGATTTTATTTATTGGACATTTTGATAATAAAATACACTACAAAATAATAAATGGATAATACTATCTTCTATCACTTGACCCATGTCGCGGTTATCAATGATAATTGAAGGTTTTGTGTAGAGTCGTTTGGCACTTGTTAAATAATGTTTGCATTTATTTCAAAATTCATTTCAGTTGATCAGTGAATTAATATAACACGTTCTGACAATGTTTTGAATGTAGGACCAAAGAAAAAGACTTTTGAGGCGTTTTGGTTGATGATTTGGCAGCAAAAATGCCATACTCTAGCTATGTTGGCTAATCTATACGAAAATGGAAAGGTATATTATTAAACTTAAAGATAACCTTAGGTAACAGAGTACAGTAGAAATGGCTTGATCCTAAAAAATAAAGGGCATTTCTCAGATAAACATGGATACCGGATTTATCCTGCACAACACACCTACATATATATGTATATTTATAAACTAAGTTTTGAATAAATTTATTTTAGAAGAATGAATTTTTGTTCAAAAGGTGATTTTCCCAGATTAGGGACTTGTGAAAACCATGGTTACCACATCAACAAAACGCAAAATAAAGTGGAAAAAAACATGAATTTTGACCAAAAGTTTGACCCACGCAAGTAGTATTTTTTTTCTTAAAACCGGTCTTACAATTGAATATCACCTACTCGGTAACAGAAAGAAAACTACATGATAAGCTAGCTTTTATTGTGTAGATACAGATTTGTAAATGGCCTAAAATGTAGTCGCAAACCAAATTCGATTTTTGTTTTTAAATGTGAAGTCTTCATAGTCAACTTCATCATGTATATGCCAATTTTAGTGTTGATTCTTTTTTAAAACGTTGATACATGTTATATTACACGGGTTATTCATTGTAAAAAAATATCACCCATGGCCACCGTACGCTACTGTACACTGCTACCTTAGTATAAGAAATATGCTAAATATTTTTATTTACGAAGTCGTATTCAATAAAATATAAAATTATTCATTTATTACCTATCAAATTTTAATCTTTATTTTAAAAATTATAGCACGAAAGAAAATGTTTTGTGTTTTTTTTATAATATTGTATCTGAAACAATAAAACAGTGTATATAACCAAGTGTTCAATCTTAATATCCTTTAATCAGAACAAATGCTACAAATATTGGCCTAATATGGACGACCCGATCACCACGGCGACATTTGTCATCAACCTGAACTCTGAAAAACAGTACGCCTTCTATGTAATAAGGGTGATTACGCTGAAACATAGACACGTAAGTAAAACATTGATAGTTCTGTAAAGTTAACTAGATTGCAAAATAGATACCAAGTTAACAAATATTTCGTATCATTCCCAAGTTAACTTTATAAATTTGATAATATACACCTGGCTATGAGGGTGAAAGCAAGTGTGCCAGTTGTGTGGATGGAGCTATCTTCTGAGGGGATACACGGGGAAAATAGTAAAAGCCAATGGTCTGACGCACTTTCATCCAAATAGCCGTGTGATAAACCCTTTGTACACAAGACATTCATGGTCCACATTATTTTGTATTATAATTAATAAAAGCGCTCTGGATAGCTTTGCCAAGGTCGATATTTCTATTTCATCTATTCTCTTTCAATGGTTCGTCCATAAAGACTTTGTTAATAATTTCACGATGATTTAATCTCAAATGTAATTATTATTGTACTATTAAATAACGAGATTGTCTTAATCCCCATCGGCAACGCCAAGAAACTTCAAAGGCAACGAGTTTTA